GGACTCCAGTTGGGACTACACACTGGATGCATCCGCCTCCAAAGATGCCTGCAACGGACGAGCTCCGTTGCTACAGGATCCTTCCATCTTTGGCGGAAGGCCGACCCCGCACAACGAACGTCAATCATTAGTCGACCAACCCTTCTGGGAGTCGGCGTAGGAAATGGATTTGCACCGAATTTTTCACCGCCCGAGTATCATCCGTCGAAAAACTGGAAACCAACACCGGTCAGAACACACGTCGGACTGATGAAGGATGCACCGCTGACCCGAAACGGGCCAGCCAATTTTCCAAGCTGAACTACTTGTCAGAGTCCACCAACCCGTACACCCTGCAGGACAATTCGATCAGCTTCAAGGTCTACAGCGCCTCCAAGAACAACCGCTTCCCAGGCCAGCAATAATCGCATTCTCCACTTCTTCAATAACCCACCCGTATGCCGTCCGAGGATCTGCTGCTGACTGCATTCACCACCAAGGGCTGCCACCCGTCGCAAGTGCGAATGTTCCCGCTGAAATCGGGAAGTTCCTTCTCCGGATTGGTCGAGTTCCCGAGCGTAGCCCTGGCGGTGAACGTCATCATGAAGTGCAACCACAGCGCGATGATCACAAATGCACAAAACTCCCGTTCATTATGAAGCTGTGCTTCTCCTCCTCCAAGAAGATGAACGGTGCGTGGAGCAACGAAAACACCGAAAACACGTTAGCTTTGAAAGAGCGGAAGCTTATTTTCTGAGAAAAGAAAGGATTTTCCTTTTTCTGGGTAGTTAATGTTATGATTCGTAATTATAATTTCTTATTGTGTTAGTTGGAAGTGCAAAAAGGAACGAGAGTAAAAATTTGTTGATTAATTTGAGATTTTGCCAAGACGGTCCTCCAACATTATATGTTGGACGATGGAATGGTTGATGTAGCAGCCACCGCCATGGATGTATTCGAGCAGTTCGAATGGTCGGATGGTATAGATTTTGTTTGGTTGTTGACTTTCCGATTAAAACTCAAACACCGCTTGTCGTGACCGGCCCAAGATTTCCAGCGTCGACCACGGCTACACAAATTAGCGATGCAGCTCCCACGGCTGCGGCTGATTCCAATGCTGCTGCTGCTGCTTTAGTTGCTGCTGCTGCTGTTCCTTCTGCTGGTCCGTCTCCTCTAAAATTCGTCAAAAAAGACGGACCAGCAGCAGCATTGGAAGCAGCCGCAGCCGTGGGAGCTGCATCGCTAGTTCGTGTAGCCATGGCCGGAAACCTCAGTTAGGTCAAGATACCGCTGTCAGCTGTTCTTCGTATAAGAGGAAATGTGGATGCGACTGCCGTCACGGTTGTAACGATTTTGAGAATCCATGGCGAGACTTGGTGGAGATTCACGGTTGTTTTGAAAATAATTTGACTAGGAGTGGCAACGTCAATAACAAATTTTGACACATGCACACTGCGCAGGCGCAGAAAAAGTTCAGTGTTACCAGTAACTTTGAAGATCATAAAAATTGTAACCATGGGTGCCAAACAACGTCAATGACTGCACCCCGATGTGCCCCAGTTTGATTTTGGCACACTGTGTAGAGTGACCAACCCCTTGGTAAGACCATATGTTCCACCTCAGTATCGTGACGCGGTTATTCAACATGTCCATGGTCTGGCTCATCCAGGAGTGCGTTCTAATCGACGACTTGTAGCTGATTGGTTCGAATGGAAGAACATGAACAAGGACATTAAGTTACTCGTGCAGAACTGCCTACAATGCCAACGTTCCAAGATTCATCGCCACACAGTAGCTCCTCTTCAGAGTATTCCTCTGCCAAACAGCCGGTTTCGACATGTTCATGTGGATATTGTGGGACCGTTGCCACCATCGAATGGCAACCGCTATCTACTAACAATCATCGACCGTTTTTCTCGATGGCCTGAAGCTGTACCACTTCAAGACATGACTGTGCGTTATCTGGATTTCTCGGTTCGGCGTACCACGGATCAACCACGGAAAACCAGCCGTGTTCGTGAACCCCTAGCTTAACAAGTGCTGCCACGTCTTTGTCAGGATCGACGCAGTCAAGAGGCCTCTGATGCAACCGTATGAATGACCATTTGCAGTAGCGAAGCGATATGAGAGGCACATAGACGTGAAAATCAATGGGAAGGTACAGAGGATTTCAATAGATCTCTTAAAACCAGCTTTCATTTGCGATCAAAGTATAAGTGAGCATCCATCACCAGATCAGAATACCAAAATTACACTATCAGGACATAAGGCTTGTACTCGAAAAAAATGCACCATTTTTATCCGTGTGTAACTTTTTTATCCGTGGGTAAAAATTGATGAAAATCTGGGTATAACTAGTTTGGAGTGAATTGTTTACATGTGCAAAATTTCATAACAATCGGTTCAGTGGTTATTGAGATGTCATCGAAACAAGAAGAAAATCGCCGGAGAATTTTGCGCGCCGTCATGGAAAATCCGACTGCGGCCATGAGATGGATCGGAAGACAACTGGGAATCACCAATACAACAGGGTGGTAAAATCGTTTAAGGAGTCCCAGACGACCGAGCGGCGGGCTGGAAGTGGAAGAAAATCGAAGACAGCTGACCCTGTGAAACCCCGGAAGGTGTTGGATTATTTCAAGCGTAATCCGAACCTTTCGATTCACGACGCGGCTCTGAAGGCAAAGTGTTCCGCCTGGTTCGTTCAACAAACCATGAAACGAGCTGGGCTTCGTGTATTCAAGGTCCGGAAGGCACCGAACCGGCGTGATCAACAAAACACGGCGGCCAAATCCCGCGCAAGGAAGCTGTATCGAGAGTGGTTAACGAAACCGATGTGTGTGGTTATGGATGACGAAACCTACATCAAGGCAGACGCAAAGCAGATACCGGCGCTGGAGTTCTACGTTGCCAAATGTTCCGGAAGACATAAGGAAGAAGAAAGTGGACAAATTCGCCAAAAAATACTTGCTCTGGCAGGCCATATGCCAATGCGGTAAACTGAGTAAACCGTACATCGCAATGGGTACCATCAACAGCGAAATTTACCGCACCGAGTGCCTCCAGAAGCGTCTGTAGTCCTTCCTGTGGTCCCACGCGCGATCGACGTTGGATTGGTACAGAGACAATAACGTTGTTTTTGTACCAAAAACCGCCAACCCCCCCAAATTCACCAGAGATTCGTCCGGTGGAAAGATTTTGGGCCATAATGAAGGTCAAAGTTCGAAAATCGACCAAGGTGTTTAAGAACGAGCTGGAGTCGGCTCCACCATTGCACAAAATGTAATGAGGGGTCTTAAGGGAAAGGTGCGGGCTTTCAGCGATGGAAAGGAAATTGAATAAAGTAATTATGCCGAAACATAATCCATATGTATTAGTTCATTCCCTGAAAGTTTCAAGAAAATCCGACTTAAAATAAATTTTTGGCGAACACTTTTGCCTAGGTGCACTTTTTTCGAGTACAGGTCTTAGAGTCAGGTTACTGTGTAAATGGTGGGGGGGGGGGACTATGTGGTGTGCACTGCCAACACTGAATAACAGCGCGCACCTGGATACACCCCTGCATCAAAAGCGACCATGTTGATATTAGTTAGTAAGTTTGGGACAAGGGAGAAATAAACACGTTGTAAAGTCACAAACGTTTGCGATTTATTCTATGCGGTCCCCACAACATATTAGTTGCAGTTTTTTTCTCTGACATCAGGTAGGTACATTTAAAATTCATAACTCAACTCGTAGAAAGAACGTTGTGTAGTGAAATGACAAGGAAATTATCTCAGAAATCCATAAACAAATTAATCTGAAAAATGTTTTCCACGAACATTTTCATGGTGAAGGAAAATTGCAAGAAAATGAGGAAAAACCATTGTCAGGGCAATGCAAATTTTTCCGTAGCTTTAGTCCAGACTTTTGGAACAATTTAAAGATTCATAAGCGTGAGTTTAGAAAAAATTAGGATAATTCCATGATGCGCTAAAATAATCGAGAACATTAGCAACATTAAGAACATTTTAGGTAAATTTCCCGAGATTGGTTTTCCGGGATGTCACAGGTAGGAAACACTACCGGTCCGATCTATAAAATGTATCGGAATGGATTTTTTTCTCGGCTTTTGCTCAGAATCCTCTACAGGTCTACACACTTTCAAATACCACTTTACACAACCTATCACTATAGACCGTGAAGTGCCATTATTTCACACGACGCCTAACTCCGCGCATTTTGTTTCAACAATACGTTGTGTATTGTAATATATTCAAAATTTAATTTTTACCCATACACTAGTCAATAATACCAATCTAAAATTTTATCTTGACTCAAAATATCCACCTTAAAAATGAGGTTAAAATTTTTCAAAAATGCTTCGGTGCACGAAATTATAGTACTTTACGGTAGTTTTAGTTTTAATAGGGTGCTGCGCCAATTGGAGTTATGCCAATTCACTTTGAATAAAAAAAAATCAACAAGTGTCTCATAGCACAATCATCAGATTTGGTGTGATTTTTGGCGACAGACGAGGATTCGCATCACTGGATCCAAATGGCACAACACTCCACCCTACCCAGTATATTTTGATGTAGAACCTAGTGACTCATATCTTGTTTTCTTGTTTATTTTTCCTGTTCCAATTCTAACTGTTATGATCTTTGCGTTGCTTAATGGTATTGTGCTACCACCATGAAACATGAAATCGATTTCGACGCCATACGCCGATGCAACATCAAAATGGGGACCACCATCCGGACACAACGAAACTGCACCACACCAACCCCCCATCAAATCGCCGAAATCGATCTTCACTCGTGTTTTATGCCTCCTGCCTGCTGCCTGTGAATGATTCCTTTCATGTGTGTGATTGCTGATGTTGTGTTATTATCTTGTTTTGATTTTCTCGACAAAAAACCACCATGCAACAAAAACACATTCAACACACATCGAATCGGATGTGCCTTAACATGATCTCAACATACATTCGACACACCCTGCTTCACATAAAAAACAATAAAACATTCGCAACCAAGCAGCTAATCGCAAACGACTATCAATTGTAGACAGCATTAAGATTCGAGTCGTGGCCAAGTTGGAGGATGTCACCGTGGAGCTGCAGAACGATAAGCGGTCGATCGCTGTTTTGGAGGTTAGTTGTTCCGTTATTGGTACCCAATTGGTCTAAATGCTTTACTGTTCCAAACAGGTTCAAAATCTGACGAGCAGTGCGATTGTGAAATCGTCCTACACGGAGGTGAACATCCGCCTGCAGGATATCGTCCTGAGGGATACCAATCCGGCATCGATTCACAAGAAGGTATGTTCTGCTCGGGTAGTTTTGCAACGATGTAATCTAATTTTAATTATTTGGGCATAGATTCTATCGATCATCGGAGACAATGCACTGCAGGTGCAGGTCGTGTTGTTCGATCTGGAAGCCACGTCGGATTACAATTCCGACGACATGCGCGTCGCCGTGACGATGGGTTGCGCCCGGATAGTGTTCCTGAACTGGTTCGTCACCTCGGTGTTGGCGTTCCTGGACAACTTCCAAGCAGCGCAGGAACGGATTAAGGAGGCAAGTGCGGCAGCTGCCGAGGCAGCGCGGAACAATGTCGTTGAAGCGTACAGCAAAGCAACGCGGATGAAGCTGGACATCAAGGTGAAGGCTCCGATCATTGTCATACCGGTGGACTCGAAGAGTTTAAAGGCGGTTGCGATGGATTTCGGTCACTTGAGCATTACGAACAATTTCCGGGATATTCCGACGGAGAACACCCACGGACCGGCGGTGATCGATGAGATGAAGATCGAACTGAAGGACATGAAGCTCTCGAAGGTGGAAGTTTGTCCGTCCGAGGAGAGCCAGATGTCGCATCAGTCGCGGTACGGATCGGATGATATGATCTACGGAATTGTGCCGGATCAGAGTGCGGTGCTTAGCCCGACCAGTTTTACGTTGATCATGAAGAGGAATCTTTCCTCCGGATGGTATCGCGATAGACCGGATATGGACATTTCCGGACGATTAAAGGCCGTTGAGGTGGGTGAATTGCAACTGCAATAAGATCTTTTCCTGGACTAAAATAATGCTTGATTGTAGCTCAATTTCATAGCGACGGATTATAGTGTGATAATGCAGATTCTTTCCAAGAATATGACTGAAGGCCAGGACGAGTTCAAGAAGCCCGTTATCAAAACTGATAAATCACCAACAAGCCCGCAGAGTAAGTACTCCAGTTTTCGTTGAACTAATTTTATGATTTGCAAATTTATGTTAAGCTTTCGATAGCTGATGTATTACATAGCATCACTTATCGACCATATTTGTCTATACAACTTCGCTTATTTATTTATTTTTCGTTTGTTTATATCTTTCCGTTTCCTTAAAATCGGCTCACACCGCACCGGTGATGCTTTCATGTGCATCTGCGTATTTCCATTATATTTTCACAAAATTACCGTTTCCTGCACATTCATCCTGCTTGCACCAACCCATCGTGTGTGTGTTCATAATCATCATATGCCAACAAATGAACCAAAACCGTGTACAGTCATTAATTATCCTACTTCCACCGCTGGCATTTCTGCTCCCGATGGTAAGCTATCGTTTTACTGCTGCTTTATAAATAGAACTAATAATGCACCTTTAAATGTCCTGGCTCATCCAAGAAGGGATCGATGTAACAATTGGCTTTGATTGTTTGTCATGTCAGTCGTCGTTAGTGAGGAGCAGATCCGTTCTTCCCTAAAAAAAGAATTTGCCCTCAGAATCGACTCAAAATTATGTAGAATCAATGCACCCATCTCAGATTGACTTGAGCTGTTCGAAAGTACTGATTGGGTGTGAAATTGTTCCAGGTAAAACTAATTGGTCTGCTGTAGCTAAGCGTGCCGCGGCGAAACCTTTCGGTGTGGATGTGGTTCAGCTGAAGGTAAAGCAGGAAGCGGCTACCAAGGAGAAGGAAGCTACTAAGCAGAAGGTCGATACTTTCCTCAAGTTTAGCTTCCAGATCGATAGCATCAACATCAAATTGTTCACTAGTAGGTTTCAAAATGCTGTTTGAAGCGCTCTGGTGTTAATAAGGTATTTATATTCCAGCTCCCGAGCAGGGTTTGGCTGGTTTCGAGATCTACTACTTGTCCCTGCAGGGCAAGAAGCTAACCGATGGGTCTCTGAACACGGCGATAATTCTGTGCGACATCCGGTTGGACGATATTCGACCGCATCGGGAGAATATGCTGACACGCATGATGGAGCGGCGGTCGACTGACCCGAAGATCAGCATCGCCAGTGGGAGTGACGATGAGGAAACGGCTGCCCTGATGGCTCCACTTCACTCGATGATTGATATCACGTTCAACATGAAGGAGAACGATATGTTTGCGGATGTGAAAGTTTCCAGCTTCAATTTGATTCTGTCGGTGGATTTCTTGCTGAAACTTCAGCAATTTTTGCAACCAGAAGAACTGGTCGAGCAGAAGGCGATCCAAGCGGCCGAGGAGCAAGCGAGGCGGGAACGGAAGTCCAGCACTTCTGTCTGTAAGCATGGTTACTAGACAAGTTTGCTAGAACAAATCTCTAATCAATGTAAATTTTCAGCTCCCGTTGAAAAATCCGAAACCGGTCAGATGACGGTCATCATCAAGATTGAACAGCCGGACATCATTCTGGTGGAGAAGATGGACGATATCAACTGTCACGCGCTGATTCTGAACAACGAAATCTCCCTGAACGTCCGTCTGGTGGGAGAGCGGCAAATCATCAAAGGCGAATTAAAGGACCTTTGCCTGTACTACGCCGAATTTAACCCGGAAAAACGCAACGATACCAAGCACTTTGTCATCTATCCTTGCTCGGTCAGCCTGAATGGGTCTACACCCGAAGGAAAGGGTTTGCATTTGAGCTTGAACTCGACCAACATCAAAATCAGCGTATCGCCCGCAGTCATCGAACTGATGCACAACGCCCTGCAGACGTTGACCGCAAACGAACAGAGCAAACTAGACGAAACGCAAGTGGAAGCTGACTACCGCGACCTGTGGGACATCAAGAGCTACGATCCGGATGATTTCTGGTTCATCCGGCCGGAGCTGGCCGAAGATGCGTTGAGTTTGGAATCGCTGCGAACGATCGAAATCAAAGAAGAGAAGTGCATGGTTGAAGTCCCGTCGATATCGTTGATCATCGAAACGGGATTGGGTATCAATACGATTCCGATGCTGTTCATCGAAACCAGCATGCAGGCTGAGGTTTCCAACTGGAGTTCCGATATGAAGATCAGCAGTTCTCTGCGGTTGAGCATGTCCTACTACAACCAAGCACTGGCCCTTTGGGAGTACGTGATTGAACCGAACGAGGTGGAGCAGCACCATGGAATAGTGGAAAATGTTCCATGGGAGTTGACGTTTGAGCTCGAAGTGGATCACCATGAGGATCGCTCAAGGGACCCTACCACAAAAATCAACGTCGCTTCTCGAGATAGCTTGGAAATGACCGTCACCAAGACCTGCCTGGATGTGTTTCAAAATTTGGGGAAAGCATTCTCGGAGGCAATCAAGCGAGAGGGTATTGTTAAAGCGGAGATCTTAGCTCCGTACACGGTTCAGAATGACACTGGTCAGGACATCAAGATCAACTTCGTTGGAGGTGATTTCACAATCCATTCGTCCCATCTGCAATCGGGTCGTGAAGACGAAATGATTGCCATCGAGCAAAACGGTGAGCAGGAAATAAATAGTTGCATTGTGATGCCAAATGGGCGGCTCAATTTGGAACCCCGGGAAAAGGACACCGAACTTTCAATGTTGACAGTGATGCAGGACAACGAAAATAGTGCTAAGAAGAAGTTCCTCAAGGTGATTATCGGTGACACGGAGAAAGAGCTGACGCTTCCCGTGTACAAGTCGGACAAGCGGTACTTCCCTCTTTTCCGGAAAACGGACCAGGAACCGTGGGCCATCATTTCCGAAGTGAAGATCGATCACGGTGCCACGGTGGTGGTGCTGCGGGGAATCGTTCAAGTATACAACCATTTCACTGCCCCTATCTACATTCATCAGATTATTGACCACGAGAAATACATGATGGGCGAGGTCCGTCCAGGAGGATTCTTCAACGTTCCGCTGTATTTCCTGTACAACGACACCAAGGATCTGCACTTTTCGATGAAGGGTTACCATTCATCGGCTCAGGGAATCAGCTGGAAGGAATCGCCGAATAATCTGGAACTGATCAAGTTGCTTCAGTGTGACCCGATCAGGACTTTTGAATCATTTTACATCAACGTAAGTCAAGCCAAGCCTTTCAACTCCTTTAAGCATTTGATAAACCAATTCCTCTGTTTAGGCCGTTCGCGAACGCCATGACGTGTTCCACGAGGTTACGTCCAAGTACACAATGTTGAGTGCATGCTTCGAAATCCACCTGCGGCCACCGTTGATGCTGCGGAATGCGCTGCCCATCGGATTGACCATTTCGGTGGCCGGTTGTTCGGTGCGCCGGGATATGGAAGCGAACGTTATCACCAGCTCAGAAAGCCTTTCCACCACTTCAACGATCGTGGGTGAAGACTATCTGGACTACGGGGAAAAACTGCTCCGTCCCGGCGAGCTGCTGCATCTTCCAACGGTGAAAACCGCCGCCAGATCGGCCACCGAAACGTCCTACATTGTGGCGCGGGTGAGTTTGGCCTGTACTGCGATTCGTGAAGAAGAATTTCACTAATGTTTTGTTCATTCACAGCTTGTGAATTACCTGGAAAAAGACTGGTCCTGCACGACGGAAATTCCAGCACAGCCGCCGGAGTTTGGCGTGTGGACGTTCAACGCGTACGATTCGGTGGAGGTTATGTCGTTGCAGCTCGGCGTTAAGTATGTGGAAATTTTTTGCCCTTCAAAGGATTTTGTGGCATTTGGTTAACTTTTGTAACTTGTTTTCGACAGGTTCGAGAATCGCATCGACGGGTTGACTCTGATCGTGTACTGCCCCTTCTGGATGCTCAATAAGACCGGTTTGATGCTCAGTTATAGGGTAAGTTGCGTATTGTGCTTTTTTTTTAATGTGGAATATTTTCAATGTAATGCTGCAACACTTTTTTTTTCGTTCATCGAATGTGTGAAGGTCGCGGGTAATTTTTATTTTCTGGATTTGAAGTAGGTTGTAAAACCTAAAAAAGTTTTGCCGCAATACAGTTTACAAAGGACACGTTTTTCGTCATTCTTCTTGTGTTTCGTTTTTGCGATCATTTCGTATTCACGTTGTTTTCTCTATACCTATTCACACACATACACGCACACAATTTCGTAGCCGTTGTTCGTACATCCGCTTCAAGATAGGACAATTAATATTCACAAGATTGCAGTATCTATAAATTAGTGCTACATTCGTATTAAATTTATTTTTCTTCATTATATACAAATAGGATACAGTTTTATGGATGCTTATAACAGCAGTCTGTTCTTACATATAATCCTTATTATCGTTCTACTTTTTTTCTTTGTTCTATTTCCATATTTATTCTTACTCTCTAAAATATTTCGGGTTCTGTGCAATGTTCGCGCGCATCATTCTCTGTGTACTGTGCATTTTTATTACCGTTATCCATTACCACCGGCTCTTATCGCGGCTTCTCGAACCAAAACCAAAGAAATCACGAAAAACCGAGAAGAAAGAGTTAGCTGGTAAAAACACCAAGTACAAGGTATTCCCCAGGATGATAGTCACGTTTAATTCAATTTAGTTTTTTTCTTTCTAATTTCCTTTTTTGTCGCCTTCCTATCTGGCTGATGTTTAAAAATCGCGCTGGTTCAGTGTTTTCTTTAATGTTTCATTTAACGGTTCTTTTGAATGGATTCTCTTTTTCCTTATTAGCTTTGGGATTTTAATGCACAGTTAAACTAACCGCTCTCATCCAGTTGGAAGGGAATGTGGCACCAATTTTTGAACCCATTTTTCGCCAGCTTGATGCCACCCGTTGCTTTTCTGTGTTATCCGTTTACTTAGTTCATGTTTCTGTTTCATGCGTGTGCCCTTGGTGTTCTTCTCTGTACAGGGTACTTGCTAACCCTCGTTCATAGCAGTCTTAGCAGTAGTATAGTTTTACACAATCACGACACCCGAGATAGTATAAAACTTCATTACACGAGAAATCTGCTCCACCCGACAACAATCTAATACCACCTTTTACAGGTTCGAAGGTCAAGCGTTTGTGAGAAGCTTTCCAAGATCGGCTGTGGATCCAGAGTGAGAAAAGTAGGTGTGAATGGGAACTGTTATGGTTGTAACAACTAGAGAAACCTTCAAGAACCTTGAATTAGGGTATTATTAAAAAAAAAATCACTCACCCCAAGACACAAATAACACTGCACGATCAGCTAGTTATGGGAAACAGTCGACACTGAACAGGCCATAGAATCATTAAGCAAAAAACGGTGTTCACAAACACACTGCACACTAAACATTACTGTTAGTCCGTGTTGTGTGGGAAATCAAGGGTTTACTCAGCTCATTCTATGTCATGTATAAGTTAGTTACTGGTCTTAGAACCACGGTTTATAGCAACTCATTTCATCTTTCATAAATATAAAAACAAGAAAGAAGGATTAGTAAATTTAATTCCACTACCTTATTTGATTATCCTTGACAGATACGCGTATTTCGTCTACAATGTGAAGTGTCTTGTACTAATAATCGAGTCGAGTCGTCGAAATACGCGTATCTGTCAAGGATAACCAAATAAAGTAGTGAAATAGACATTACTAATCCTTCTCTCTTTCTGTATACAGGTATTCCACTATGATGCCCACATTCATCAGGATTCTTTCATAAATAGTTGATAAGGCAAATTTATTGTTTTAAAGCAACTCCAGGTCAACTCTTCCAGAATGATGAACAAAACTTGCACGTTTGCAGATTGACGAAACTTTTCTCATGTCTTTGGTACCTGAGTTTTGCATAGGTTAGCATCCTGGAGGGGCCTGTACCTATTTCTCTTTAAGAAAAAATGGTAGGGTTGTTTACAAGACACGACCGCATGGTTGACGTAGACTACGTTAAGCTGTAAAGTGAAATTCTCGTGCACTTTTCAAGATATCGATTTAAAATACAGTAGAAGAAATCTACCCAACAAACATTGAATATTGAATAAGAGCTTATTCAGGCAAAACCAAGCTTCTTCAGCTAAAAAATAGTTTAATCAGCTGTTGATCAACTCAAATTGTTTGTTGGGTATGATTTCGGTTCAATGTACATATTTTAGATTTCCTACTTAGTAAAACTTGGTTAAATTCAGGACCTCATAAAAATCCAAATACATATTCTATTACATTTGGTTCCTAAATTACAATCAGATGTGAAGGTAGGGCTTTCATCAGGTGATTAATTTAAACGTTCAACAATTCCCTATCTCTTCAAGATTATAGGGCACAAAACTAGGACGGTTGTGACATCACTCATGAAATTGAAACTCCTTGTGTACTGCATTGCAGCAAACGTGAAGTTCCAATTTCTTTGTTATAAGTTTTGTGAGAGCTGATATTTGTGCTCTTGAAATTGTTATGTGGTAATGAAATTGATCAGAAATAAGGTTTCCATAGCGATTCAACTTCAATGCACACATAAAACGGGGTACACAATTTTGCACCAATGCTGTGCAACATTTCGTAGTTGATCGGGAATATCTCGATTAGCCATAAATCCCTCCAATAAGTTCTCGGTACATTTTTTTTTAAAGATTTTGCTCGCGTTTTGTAGACGCACATGCATCATTCGGCATAAGAACACGGGGCGTTTCTATATTGGGAATAAAATTGACTTCCATATCTATCACAGATTACAAATTCAACAGTGAGTAAGCATAAGAGCGTAACCGTGATGATCGATTCCCTTTTTTGTTAATAGCTCACTTGGATTAATATATCTCGGTGCGCTTGTTGTTGATTTTGATAGGCAATATAACCTGTTACAAGTCACAGCACTACATTGAACAAAATTCAGATAATATTCAAGCTGAACATTACATTAGGTCCTAAGTATAACATTGATTCTTGGAGGCGAACCAGCCCAAGGCTGAAAGCCTCCTTAATAAAGCTAAATAATAATAATATAACATTGATCGATTCTCGTCGTCGACTTTCTATTTCGTTAATAACGTGAGTACATAACTGTTTCTTGTTGTGTTTGTCGTACTAGATGCTAGATAAAAGCTAGCACACAAATCGCTGAAAATACGTGGGAATATCTTTGCATGGCCGAGGGGATACAAGGAGAAAGTCGACGAAGAGAATCTGTCAATGTTACTTAGGACCTAATGCAATGTTCAGCTTGAATTGTTTCCCTTAGCTGTAGCAATGTAGAAAGAAAATCGATGAGGAGAATCGATCATTGCAAGTAGACCCTTTCAACACTCACTGTCAAATTTCAGTACCTAGCACGGAAAAAAAAGTTGACGGTACCTCTCTTTATGCTAAGAGATAAGCATTGTAAGTCCCTCCTACTTGAAGAATTATGCAATCGACCACTTGCTATGCCTCGCCCCCCCTCAGCGAAAATCTGGGATTTTATAAACCGTTCTATAGCATAATTTTCCAAGTAGGATGGCCTTTCATAGCTAATCTAAAAGCATAAATACAGGTAGGCCGTCTAATAATTTCAGTGCTTGGTACAGAAATCTGTAATCTGTGCAGGGAAATCTCCACCACAGAAACACCCCGTTTTCTTATAACAGCGTTCACAAAACGCACGAAATTTCAAGCTAAATTTTCTGATCGCGAGATATTCACGATCAATACCGAAATTTTGCATAAATGTCCAACCCGTTTTTTGCGTGCTTTTTTTATAGCATTCTGAAGAAGCCCTACCTGAATATTAAAATAAGAATATTGTTGTGACTTTTCACTGTTACCTAATGCTTAGGGAGCTTTCATAAATAACGTTGTAGTTGAGGGGGGGGAGAGGGGTTTCAGAAGTTGCAGGGCTGTTACAACAGGCGCGGATTTTGCGAATTTCGCGGATTTCGCGATTTTCGCGGATTTGTCGCGGATTTGAACTTTCAGTCGCGAAAATCGCGGAAACATTAAATGATGTCGCGAAAATCGCGAAGGGACTGTGTGCTGTCACAAAAATTGTGGAATTCAATGTAACCTTTCCGTCCCGGATTATTTTGCTGTCATCAATTTTGTTGTTCATTTGGCTCTCAATTTTTTACCGGTTCAATCCAAACACTCTGCAAATAATCGAGAAATAATCTCAATTCCATAAGTCACACCGGATTTACATGGAAATTCCATGAGGTCTGTCCAATGTGAGACATTTTCCTTTTTTTCCCAATATGAACTTAGCATTTTTCGTTGTCACATCATAAACGAATCGTATATATGTGAGTAATTGTCATGTATACCGGATGTTCTAGGTTCTCCAAATCGTCCTGGAGTTCAGTTGATTTGTTCTACTATATCAACCAAGACTCCAAACAGATTCAAAGTGTCTATGTGGATTGTACCCGACCTATTGCTACGTATACAAGATGTTATAGGTTCTGAAATCATTCTGGGGATCATATTATTTTTCTACTAGATCACCCAAGACTAATTAAATATCTGTAGTATCGAAATATGCCCAAACAAAATTGCAGTGTCTATGCGAATCATGCCAACGTGTATGCCAAATGTTCTAGGATTTCCAAATCGGTATTTCGATACTACAGATATTATCCTAGTCTTTGTTGATCTAGTAAAACAAATCATCTGAACTGCAGGACGATTTGGAGAACCTAGATCATCTGGTATACGTGGAAATAATTAAACATTATCCATATAGACATTATGAATCTGTTTGGACATATTTCGATACTGCAGACTTTATCCCAGTCATGATTGATCTAGTAGAATAAATCATCTGAACTACAGAACGATTTGGAAAACTTGAAACATATGGTATACATGGCAATAGTTCATGCATGATCCACATAGACTCTGTGCATCTATCTGGAAATATTTCGATACTAAAGACATTGTCCCAATCTCGGTTGATATAGTAGATCAAATTATCTGAACTCCAGGATGATTTGAAGACCCTTGAACATCTGGATTACTCGGAAATAGATCATGCATGATCCACATAGGCACTTTGAATCTTGTTGGACATTTTCCGATACTACAGACATTATTGCAGTCTTGTTTGATCTGGTAGAGCAAATCAACTGATGTCCTGGACGATTTGGAAAACCTATAATTTTCTGAATATACATACTAATAAGTCGTGCATGATCCACAAAGTCACATATATACGATTCGGTTATGATTTGACAACGAAAAGTGCTAGGTTCATATTAGAAAAAAATAAATAATGAAAATGTCGCACCATTGGACAGAACCCAAGGAATATCCGTGTAAATACACAACCGCGACGTGACCAACAAGTGTGACTTATGAAACTCTGGTAATTTCTCGATTATGTGCAGGGTGTTTGGTTTGAATCGGTAAAACATTGCGAAAACTAGAGCCATATTAACTACAACTAGGACAGCAAAATACGTCAAGAAATTTGCATTTCAATTTTTTTTTAACATAATGTTTCATCAAAACTAGGCCGGTATTGTTCAATAGAATCTCATAATGTAAGGGTGTTTTATTATGTTCACTAATTACTCAGAATTTATAAAATACATAAATTACTGAAGATGATACAATGTAATTAAAAAATAAAAATAAAGGTTACAAACGATACTCCTTTAGCTCAGTCGGTAAAGGCGCAGCTACAAAGCAAGTCCATGCTGGAGGCGACTGAGTTCGATTCACGTCCGGTCTTATAATTTTTCGGCTTGGACAATTTCTCTATTTTCTTGGGCATAGGATGGTACGGGCATAGAAAGCTCTCAATTAAAATGTGAAAGTACTTCAAAGAACACTAAGTCTAGAGCACGCAAAAATCTAATATGCTATAAGCTTGAAATGCAATGTAGTAGTATATACAAATGCTATTTTTAGGCAATGAAAATTATTTTTTTGGCGCGGATTAGTATTTGAGGTCGCGGATTTCTTTTCAAAAATCGCGGATTTCGCGGATCAAATTTAGAAAATCTTGTAACAGCCCTGAAGTTGTGACCGGCCATGTATTAGGTATATCAAAACACGCTATGAGGGGGAAGGGGATTAATTGGTCATTTATGGATTGGCTGAGTAAACAACGCATCGTCGATTTGGCGGAACTTATAGCTCACCCACGCATTCTAACACTACCAACAGATAAGGTAA